TGGGTGGGGCCTCCCCGCCCGAAGCCAGCGGTGCCGGCGAGGGGAAGAACCTCTTCGCCCCCGCGGGGGCTGCCGGCTCCTCTCGCCGGCTTCGGAGGCAACCGGCCCTTCAGAAATTCCCTTGCCAGGAGCCAGGGTCTGCCAGCCGAGAGGCTCTGGAGGCAGACCTCCGTCCCGGGGAGCCGCGGGGAGGAAAGGAGCAATTTCTGGTTGACGCTCGGAGAGCGTTCAGCCTTTCGTCGGCTGGGTCTAAAGCTTTAAATAGGCTTTTTAAACAGGCGCGTGTTGTGTGAGATTATTGTATGTGGTTTTTTTGAGGAGTTGGTGTCTTTGTGGGAGTGACTCTTAAAGGGAATAAAGTCTTGTGGAGGTGTTTAGTATCTGCAGGACTTGGAATAAACCTGACATGCGCCTGCCCTTCCCACTTACTTTATCTGCCACGATTTTCTGATCCTTTCCTTTAATGTGGGGGGGGGGAGTCTTTTTTTAGTCAGCAGCAAAGTGTTACTTGTGGCACACTGGGGTTTTGTTTAAAATTTTTTTTTTTTTTTTACAAAAATATGTATTGCTGGAAGCAAGGCTCTGTAGTCAAAGTTGTGTGCTAAAGTTATGTAAGTGTGAAAAGAAGCGGTCAAATAGTATCAGTTCACATAATATTTAAATTGGTGTGTAGTCTTTGAATAGTAGGTTGGTAATATGATAATTTTTGTGCTCTTTTTAATTTTTAAGCAGTCTAGTAAGATAAAGATACTCTTTAAGCTTCTGATGTAGTCTAAAAAGTTTGCTGTCTGTGATGTTTGTGAATGACCAGTGGTTGTTAGAAAGGGGAGTGTTGAAGGAAAAGTGTGTTGAATGGCTGAATTCTCTTGTCTGAAAAGATGGAAAGAATGGTGATTCTGATTTTTACTCCCTTTTTAAATATAGGTGATTACTTAGCAAGTTTGACAGAGTATATCACACTTCTGGTATATAGTCAGTTGACAGCCCAATGAGTCCGATTAAATATCCCTGCTGCTTGATGAACAAAGAACTTTCATTTAAGAGTTTCCCAAATACTGCTTAGTAGAATGAGGTTCTATATGCTTCTGTGTGTTATTGTATGAAACCTGAATTAAATCCACTTGCTGGGTTTCTTCTCTTAGAACTGACTGTCCAAGAAAGAAAAAAGACAATAGAAACCAATACAGTCTTCTGGTTTGTGGAAGCTACCTAAGATAGCTGAATGCAAGTGGATGTATGACTCATGAGCTGGCAGGATACAGGACCTCGCTGAGATCAATTGACAATTTCTAGCATGCATTTGCACTCTGAAAGTCAGAGTGCCTGATAGGATGCTTTCTTAGAGCTTCTGCATGCTGATTATTACTTGACTGAAGTGAAGCATGTGTATAATCAATGCACTTGATTCTCTTCCCGCGTACACAACTTTTACATCAGGGTAGCCCTATTGATTTCAGTGGGTTTGTTCTTTATGAGCATGACCATGCAAGCTCAGTGGGAATGATATCCACTTCTCATTTACTGGAGATTAAATTGCATTGCTGCATTCAACTCAGTCATATCCATGATGCAGAAGGATGCAGAATACCTATTCTGACTTGACTTCTAATGCCAAAAAAGACCCCCAAAAGCAAAATCACAAAATACGTAGGTGAAAGAAAAGTATTAAAGTTTGACCTCCCCTCCCTGTGTGCATGTGTGCATGCATCTACACACACGCAGAGAGCTTCAAACAGCCTTTGGTAATAGCCTGCTCAGTTAAGAGTGTTGTGAAGTTTTAGTGAGCCTACTGGATAGGCTTTTATGCCTCTTACACAGCTTAGTGAATGTTATAGAAGTGGTCTGAAGTAGTCAAATGCTGAGGCTTCATTGTCCGTTTCCTGAAATTTTAGATGGGGGACAGTTGCCAGAAAAATTCCAAAAGAAGCAAAAAAAAAAAAAAAAAAAAAAAAAACAACCCACCCAAAACCCCAGAACAAACTACTGGCTTGCGAAAGGGTAGTTGTACTAAAGTTTCCCTGCAGAATCAGGCATATTTTATTTTGAACAAAGATAGTAGTTTTGCCTCTGTATTTTGACATAATTAAAGACTTACTTGCACACTGATGTAATTGACTGTTTGGTTTAAATGCTTAGCAAAAAGTTTATCAGAAGATGAATAGTAAATAAGCCCATGCATCAAGATAAAACAATGAGCCCTATATTGCTGTTCACCGGTATTTGAATTGGGAACAAGGGCACTTTGCTCACCACAGTGTGGGAAGACAATGTGCGTTAATTACTTGTTACTGTTTTCTAGTGCTGCTATATTAGCTTGTACATGGGTGGTACCAAATTTAGTCAATCATAAATCATTGTCCATAAATGAGTATAACATGTCTGGTAGCACCTCTTGAAATGTGTAGAAATAATCTGTGAAATACATAGCAATGTGATTAAAGGGGACTACTCAGTCCTTGTCTTGTTACGTGGTTACTTAGAAGTTGCAGTACTGTTGTTGGCAACGGTTTAGACTTACCATAACTTCTCTTATCACCTTGGTATCTATGGTGATATCAAACTTGTGACCCATGATTACTTTAATTGAAGTGTTTAGCTTGAAACAGGAATGCTTTGTTCTAGTTCAGATTAGCTTTCCAGATCTTCAGAATGGACTTATTTGCCTTTCTTCACGTGTGAAAATAGGAACTGAACAAAGGCGTTGTATTTTCTGAAAGGGTTGAAGAGGTGTGTATGGTGGATATTTCAGTCATGTTCCTGTAGTGTGTTTTCTCTGTGCTGTCTAATATCTATCCTCGTTTTCACTGGGGTATCCTGACATGGATTTAGAAAATTGTATATAATTAATGGTGTTCTCCAAGTGAGACACCCCAATTTGTACTAGGGAAACTTGTTTTTATGAAGTGGAATTTATTTGTGCCTTTGCTAGATTCAACTTGAATCACCCTCTTTAGTGACTGTCTCCAGGTTGGGCACACAGTAGCGATGGGGGAGGGGAAGGATCATTAGAAATCACTTTGTCAGATTGTGCTTGCAAAACTGATTCTTAGATGCAGGAGCATTTGGGAAGGTGGTGCTGAAATGCTGGCTCCACCAAATGCTGGAATTTCAAGCAGCTGGGGCTTAATTTTGAGGGGGCGGGGGCAATGTATTAATGTAACTGCATCTGCTTCTAGGTAATGACTCTTGACTCTGTCAAGTTTTCAAACCTGAAACAGGTGTTGGCTTAAACTGTTATTGTTAGCATAGATAGTCTGCAAGCTTAGTGCTGAAATAGCACAACCAAACTAAACATTGCCCACGGATGTTAAACTATTCCTGGATGGGGAAGACAAAGATGCAGAAGTTAGGTGTATGGTTTGGAAATGATTCTTGATAATCCAGGAAACATGTGCTATGGACCCGTATTTGGAAACTCAGGGGGTTCATACTGGGTTTCTAGAAGGTTCTTCAAAACCTCTTAAAAAAACTTTTAATGTCCTAAAAAAATAGAAGGGCTTTCATTTGACGTTATCAGATTGCAGGGGTGAGAAAAATAATCATCTGCTGTCTGGCCAGTTGCCTTGCATAGTATAAATGATAGACTAGTCATTTAGTTCAGTTGTGGGCCTGTATCAAGGATGGCCAAAATTCTTTGCGATGACAGATAGGTAATGAGCTTCTTATACGAAAATTTTTCATAATGGAGGCAGAAAGTCATTGTCTGGTTCCTTTAAAATATTAAGGTGATAATCTATTTCTGACTCTAATTAAGACAACGCTATAGGCTTTTGGTATCCATAAGCATTGAGTCTGCCCTGACATTTTTGCCAGTGAACCTTAGAGGATAAGGTAGGTATTTTCCTGCAGCTGTTTTAAATATCTCTGCAGTTTTGAAAGTGAAATACATGAATGTGGTTCATCACTTAAAATGTCTCAATTAAGTTGCCTCTTAGCTCACCTTCAAACTAGAATTCTCTAACTTGCTATTGGATCCTTCCCGGAGAGGCCCCTGTCACTTGTGTGCTGATGATTCAGAAGGTCGTAGTGCTTCGGCACAGCATCTTGCAAATGTTGAAGTCAGATGATGACTATTGATATATGCAGTGTTTTTGTCAGTTCATGTCTCAGTGGTGTGAAATAAGAGATGGGTGACATGGGGAAAGAAGAATCTGTTCTCTGTCTGTGTGCAAGGCACATCAGAGGCAAAGTAACCTAGCAGCCGATTAGGTTAAAAGATGACATGCTGTGCAAAATGGAATTTAACATTCCGAAGCGTCTGCTAAATAACTGTATTATTTAACAAGCTAATTATGGTTCTTTGCTTCCAAACATGACCAACGAACTAATTCGCCTGAAGAGATTGCAATGTGGTAGCAATAACCAAGCTGTTACCACAGTGCCTTGGTAGTGCACAGTTGCCGAATACATCTTTTATCATGTAATTGCATTTCAGCTGTTCCTAAAAACAAATGTGTTTAACTGTGTGATCATAAAAAGAAAATTTAAGCTTAAATGTCATTCATCCTTTTAGTTGGTAAGCAGAATGTCTTTTAACTTGTTACCTCGGGGAGGAAGCTATAGGATTAGGTGTCATTGCTTTGCTACCAAGTGTACCTTCTGAGTTCCCTTTTACGCTCCTTATTTTCCACAGGGGAAAACTGATTGAATAACAATGTGTTCTCCCTGCTCTGTAATAGAGGAGGAGGAGGATGGCTCAGGGAATTAGGGATCTAGAAGTGGAATATGATGGCTAAAATCAGGAATAACTGAGGCAGAAATACTGACAGGGCTTCTTGGGTTGAGAGTTAAGGGGTTCATCTTATAAAGCTTGGGAGTTCCAGAGATGTCAGCTGGAATCTAGAAATGACAGCTACTATTCTAGAAATGCATGAAATAACGTGGTTCTGAGGTGGATGGATTTTCTGTGCAACAGAAGGGCTGCAAGAGACACAGAAAGGATGGTAATAAGAGCAAAAGGTAATCAATAAAGTCTTGGGAAACAGATTCTACCATGTTTTGTCATTGATCTGTTACATGGAATCTGCAGTTACTAGTTTTATCCCTGTAATCTGTCTTCTTTCTACTTCAATTGGTACTTGGGCTTGGTACTATTAAAACTTCTGGTTATTTCACCAGTAGAAATGTTTTAAGTGGTAGTCAAAAGATACGACTGGCTAAAATGCTGAACTTTCACTGATCCTAGTAAAAAAAAGTTTGACTTGCTTTGAAGTGCAGAAGTGAATCCAGTTCAAGATGTGTATTGCCAGTGTGTAGGGCATGAGAGAAGTGCAGATGGAAGGACACTCTGAACATGAAGATTTGTTTGGGTGTGTCCTAAACAGGTACATAGAATAACCCAATTTAGACTAAGTATCTATCTTAATGTAATTGGGTGTAGAAGGATGTTGGGGGGGTATCTGTGGTGTCTCTTAACAAATCAGTATTTTACAGCTTTATAAGATAGATTAATATTGGGCACAGGTAATTGCAGTGACTGGTAGTGCATGTTTTTTGTGAAGATAAAGTGATTAACTAATGGACATGCATTCAGATCTTCAATACCTTTCAGAAGACGGGACTAAAATCATGTTCCAGGTTCCTTACAGAAAGCTGCATTAGATCTATAAGAATAGCGCTAAATACACACTTAAGCAGAATGCCTTCTGTTTGAGTCTGTTGTACACTCAAGTGGTTTTAAGGGACAAAACAAAGCAGATCAGATAGTATATAGCAGTTAATTTACTTTTCCTGACTGGCTCCATGGCTCTGTCCGTATTTAGCTTGCATGGGTGGCATCCAGATTAGTTTGGCATGGGCATAAACTGCATGGAGTTACTGTGCCTTATTTGCACTGTACGTCTCCGGAGGTGTCACTAGAATTTAAGGGTTGCGTCTGTCTGTTTTGCTTTGCTTTGGATGCAGTATGTTTGATTCTCTGATGCTTCATGAGAGGAAAAGGGGGAAGCAATTTGAATGTAGTGGGCACCAGGACTTGCTTGAAGGCAGAAAACATCAAGCAGTCAACTTGCCCTGTTTGCAATGAGAATATCGATTAACTTGTCAGCCTGAGTGAAAGTTTGCTTGGACTTTAGCCTCCAAACTTTGAGCTGCCTAGTCCAGGTTGGTAGGGGATCACAAATAAACTTGTGGTAAATTTGTGCATGGAGGACATCGGTAAAGATTTTTCCAAACTTCTTCCAAAGAAGTGTGTGGGGGTGTTTTTGTGTTGTTTTTGTTTTGTTTTCCCAATGAGTTGTTAATGTCATAGGACAGTCTGTAACTAGGATGGTCTGGATACTAAAGAGCTACTGAAGTCTGCTGCTACATTTGAAAAAGTATTTGACTTTTGGTGTGAACCAGGTCTTCTATCTTGAAGGATGTTAGCCTGACATAACACTTTAAGGTAAATGTTTTGTATGTTGTTGGTTTAGTCTGTTTTGGTTTAAATTACTTTTTTAAACTGCAGGTATGTGTTGCTGTAGAGATACAGTTTTTTTGGTATAGGAAAAATTGATTGGTTTTTATTTTCCCATAACTGTCAATTATTAAGGGATCCTTTCTCTTATTTTCTACTGTATCAAAGCAATATGTTCATAGTTCTTCATGTTTTACTCCAGTAGCCTGTGGAATTGAATAGCTGGGCAGTTGATTTCTGATGGCAGGTTTCTGGGCAGTACAGGCACTGAAGGCTGACTTTCTTTCAGTTTGGCCCTCAAATAGCAAGCAAGCATTGTGGAATAGTGAGCCTTTACGCTAGGGAAGGAAAGAAGATCTTAATGTATACAAAATTTCTCTGTTGACTCATGCATCTGATCTGAGGCAGGAAATGAAAACTTGTTTCTGTTATGAATGTCATCAAACAGTCAAACGAAGTTCTGGGTAGCTGTTGAAATGGCTACATTGAAGGCAGCTGATCTCATTCTAGTCTGCAGCATGGAGAAGGCATCACTTTCAGCTTTTCAGAAGTTCTGTGCTCTTCTGAGCTTCATAATGTCTTTTCTCTCTGTGTAGGCATTACTAAATATCTTTGCTCAAGCTTCTGTTTGGAAGAACAAATTGTTGCCAAATCGGGTTTGTAACTCCTGCAGGTGCTGTAAAACTTACCATATAATCAATCCTTGCTTAAGGTAAATTCAGTTGCTTTCTTTAAAGCACTGGTAAAGACTGAAAGGTAGTGTGGTGAATGGAAAACTAGATTAGAATAATAAAAAAAAGTCCAAATAGTCGATTTTGTAGTTTATTCCCAGTTTAATGGTGCAGATAGTGTTTCTTATTAACACTCCTGGCTTTGCAGTGTTGGAGTCTATTTTCCTCTTTCACCATGGAACATATACATGAACTGCTATTTGATCTGGTAGATCAGATTAAACCCCAAACTAGCAGTAACATTTCTAGAAATAGCTCAGTGGCAAACATTAAAAGCAGGCATTACAAATTGAATAGAAATTTATCCTTAGTATATTTCTTTTATTTACATATGTCTTGTCCTCTCTTTCCTAACCTAAGTTACTGAGGAATGAGTAATGTTATTTCCCATGTTTCTGTTTAGGAGGAGGAGAAAAAAAAAAAGAAAAAAGAAAAACGTTGCCTCATTTGTTTTCTGCCTTACGTTTTCCTCTTGTGGTGTTTTTTTTTTTTTTTTTTTTTTTTAAATTGGGGAAATACTATTTCTGTCCTACCACCTTGTATTTCCACTCCTTAAAGACTACGTGTAAAATGAAACTTCCTGTTATTTTTGTAAATACTTTGACTTTGCAAGCTCTTTGTGTATAAAGTGACTTGCAGAATCTGCTCCCCATACACAGGGTAGGAGAAGTAGTGTAGTGGCAAGTTTATTGTCATTTAGCTGACTAGTTACAACCATATATATACATCTGTTGTCCTAGGTGTATTTGAGGCTGGGAAACAGGATTGGTGCTGGTGTGAGCATTGCACTGAGGAACACAGGTGGATGTTTCCACTCTCTGTCTTCTTTGTGTCTCTCTGGTTATAAAATAGCAAGAGGAGAGAGAAAACATTGTGTCTTGGCATATTATAAGGTCTAAATGTGCGTAGAGGGCAGCAACAGGTCTTCCACCTGATTTCACTGCAGCCCTTGAGCACAAATCCATAGGGGGAGCTCTAGAGCAGATAAAATAGCAGGATCTTAACTGGCGTGCAGATTAAAGCTGTGAATGATCCCTATCTGCTGTTTACATAGTAGAGTGGGAAAGAGCTTAGGCTGGCCTCTGCCACGGAAGGAAGAAGCCCCCTTGGGAGGGAGACGTGCTGTTTAGTTTCTTGCTTTCTTTCAGACCTGTATGCAGGTGTTGAAAAACTTTAATTTTATAGGCAGGTGCTGAAGCCCATTAGCAGTTATTTTTAAATTTCTTGTTCCTCCGTGACACTTCTGTTGGAGGTCAAGGAAGCCTGAAGACTCTGAAGTAAAGATCAGTAGTCCTAACGTCTTAGGGTGAGTGTCTGCCACTCCTCTGATAGGCTTGCTTGGTTACTGACTGCTGTTGAGATCCGAAGTGGGTATGGTGGAGGTTAGTCTTGAAGAGGTTAAGGGAATTAAATATTTAGGCATTGTTTCAGGAAAAGTGCACTATCTTTCAAATGCAGCCAACATTCATAGGATTGTTCTACTTACTTCCTTACTTGTTTGTGTTTAAGTAGATACGCGACTTCTGCTCTTTTTTTCCTCACCCACAGCATTCTTTCTGTGTTCTTCAGGCTGTAACTGTATGAATGTCTTTTTGCTCTTTACAATTAGTGTGGAAATCTGTGAGTGCAGTGTATTCTTTTAGGTGTGCCGCAATAGCGAATTTGTATTGAGATGCAGCCTAATAACTTATATGCTGTTTTGATCTTTAGTATGTATTGAATTCAGTATTTTGTGTATTTCAGATGATAAAAAAGACATTGACCATGAGACAGTGGTGGAAGAGCAGATCATTGGAGAGAATTCTCCTCCAGATTACTCAGAGTACATGACAGGGAAGAAACTTCCTCCTGGTGGAATACCTGGCATTGACCTCTCAGACCCCAAACAACTGGCTGAATTTGCTAGGTAAGTAGGAAGAAAGGATCTTTAAATTAAAATGGTTTTCTTTTCACTGGTTTAATTATGAAACTGTTAGGCAAAATAAATGGTAGATTTAGTATGGCTTATTGTTCCATTTAATCATCTTCTGAAACAAGGGACTTACAGTATCAGCTACTCTGTTCTGAATTGTTAAAATAAGTGGGTTTTATATTCAGCAGTGACTTATTCAATGACTTCTGGTCTTTAGTTCTTGTTGGGTAAGACAGGACCTAGATACATTGATAGACTGCATCTTCGACATGACAGAATATATCTTTCATGTGAGTAGTCTTAGATTATTCAGCACCAAAGGATCTGATAAGTGAAATGCTCCATTCAGGTTGTTCAGTACAAGAAAGCTAGACTACAATATCTGGTTTGTAAAGCCACTTACTGTTCTTTTTCACCTGCTTCTTACTACTTAAGCTCTAGGTCTTAAACTTCTTCTTAATGGAGTCATGTGTCTTGCACTTTCAAGTGCCACTGATAATTGCAGTTTCACAATTGGTAACTATACTGCTTGGATTTTCCTCTAGTGAATCAGAATTTTTACTTGTTTACGTATCAATACATTGACCTGAGTTACAAGGTGACTTTTACTTTCAAGTAGAGATGAAGCTCTGTTCTGCTGTGGAGTACTGAAAGTTTCATGCGTCTCTTCCCCCCGCCCCCCTCCCTTCGCAGAGCCCCTGGCTCTGATACTGAGTGCTCAGGATAGTCGATGGCCACCAGACGGCAACCGTGAGGTCACCAGAGAAGTCTGCTTTGACACCTGGAAGCTGTGACATTAGAATTGCCTTTGCAGCATTTACTTGGTCCCCTTCCTTGTGTGCATGTGCTTGTAATTACCAAAAGCATATTCCTCCACTCAGTGCATGGGCAGTGTTAATGCTGGTGTCTCCAAATACTTGAGCACAACTGTTAGCTTCTTGCAGCTGCTATAATCAGTTTTTCCCATGTTGAAAGCAAAACGTATGTATGTAGCTACAGTCATTTTCATTTTGTTACTAGCTGGGTATTCTTCAGAGCCCTGGTGCACAATTCTGACACTTAACAGCAGGTGGATGGTCAGATGTTGTTACTCTTACTTCCTGGGTCAGCTCGTAAGAGGGAGAAGTATGGTTGTTTGGTGGTTTGTTTTTTTTTAATCACTGGGTTTTTCAGCTGGTTGCTAGGTGGCAGGGACTGTTCAGACGAGTTCTGGTCTGGCTTCCTGGTTAGGTGGATCTTGGTATCCAGTGTGTGCATCTACTCTTGTTTCACCTGTTTGATCTCACTGCTTTTTAGAGGGTTGTTCTGTTACTCTTCAGTGTGTTTGTACCAGAGGATTGCCAGCACAGCCTTGTCCCGCAATTATTTTCAGTAAAGCCATTGAACTGTGAATTTTGAAGGCTCCTAGTAAGATAGTTTTGCAGGGTTTGCTCCCTGCTTCAGGCTATCTGATCTGGAAATGTATAAAAACACATCACAAACAACTGAAAACAGGGTTTTATCTAAAGCGGTGGATGGTTCTAGCTATTGATACTGTTGTTACTTATTGGACTACTGTTGATCAAAATGATTGTGTTTTCCTCTGAGACCTGCTGAAAGGTTAATACAATTTTTTGTGAAAGCAAATGTTTAAGTGATGCTCTGAGTGTACTAGCCTTCTAATTCTAAAATGTTACTTACACATTTCTGCTCATCATGTGCTTAGAATGGCATTCTTGGTTACTTTAAAACATGCTGAAACCTTTGGTTCTATTAAACATTTAAGTACTGAATAGCTATCTTCTGTTAGGAAGTTTAAATAGTTTCTCATAGGGTATTCTTCATGCAAGTACTGAATGTTTTTCTCCAGATTGGTTTGAATACTTGAAATCGTTGCCAGGATTTGGGCTTCTTGGAGTGACCAGATTGCTTCTATCAGATCTGCCTGCATATTTCTTAATATTGTAAAATGTACTGCATCTTTGGGTTTTAGTTAGTTTTCTATTGAGAAAATAGTGGCAGCTGGCAGTAATTTAAAATTACCACTTTTTTTTTATTCATGGTAGAATGTTCTAGGAAGTTCTAGAGCTAGAATTTGTAGCAGATGATGGAAAGCGTTCTATGTGTACAGTCTCTTTTATGTTAATATATTTTTGTATAGCAGATCAAATGTAATCTACTTCAGTCATAAGACAAATATATGGTGGTAGAGTAAGCAACCTGGGGGGACATCACCTTTAGCAATGTCCCCAAGTTGCCCAAAACCTATGAAGAATTGTTCTGATAGCTTAATTGTAGATATGTGAAAACTTCAAGTATCTTCTGTTTTCAGAAAGGTTTTTTGATTTCTTGGTCAGAATCGGTGACTGTCAAACTTCTAGTCTCCCGGGGGGAGAAAAACCCTGTTAGTTGTATGTAAGATCTTAAATGATTGCATATAGCTGAGGCTGAAGAATATGGGTGTATTAGAATTTGAATATTGCTTGTTAAGGTCTGGGTCCTCTTGCAGTGAAGCATGTTGAAGGGACTCCTTTTAGCTAATAACATGAATTCAAGCACTGATACCTATAAACCCATTTTTATACTGATCAATTGTCTTGTTCATCTAGATTGCTGTGTGCAGTATCACTAGAAACCTTGCATGGCAAACTAGAAGAAAAAAATGGGTTTACATGTACTGGAATTGGGTTTGGAGGTCCTAGGAATACAGTTATTCATGCTAAAAGAATGTGTTTGTTTAGTGTAAAGTTCTCTGAAAGTTTCAAGCATTGCTGGTTGCTTTACAATTCAGAATTTTGAAATTCTCAGTAGCTATATTCTAAAAACTTCGAGCAGCAAGTGAAGTTGAAACAGTTACTTTTAAACTTGCTAAGTAGCTTCATGTGCTCTGAGTAAGGTTTTGAGTAACAAATTTGTATTTTGATGACTTGAAAAAAGAATGGTGCACAGTCCACATACAAGGAAGCATAAACTGCTTAGTAAAATCGTATGCTAAGTGTATTTTGTGCAGTTGAGAGCAAGTTATTTTGGGTTGCTTTCATGTTTTCATTAAGGTAGTTGGAAGAATCTCACTATACATTTGTAGAAATTAGCTACTCAAAACCAGGCTAGATCCACTGTTTATAACCATGCAGCTTATTTTGATTAAGGATAAATTGACTGAGACATTTGCATCAATTCTTAGGAACAAAGTTCTGAGGTTAAGTTTAAACAGGCAAAGCTTGAATTCTAGTGGTAACAGATTTCAGGCAAGGTTCTGGAGTTCTGATCATGGTCTGGTTAGTGAGAAGTAAGGCTGGGGTTGACTTGATGCTTGAAGTCCTCTGTAACTCTGCAGCCCTGAAAAAAAAAAAATTAAAACTGTAGTAATTCAGCATCTGCAATGGACACCACTGCGGCTTAGCAGCTAGGTGGCACTAGCAGAGTGAGCAGTTACACTGTCTCTTGTGATACAATTATCTTTCGCCGCTTCTTTTAGTGCATTTGTCATTGAGTCATGTAGCAGGAATCTGGATCCCTTAACTGGAACTCTTACAGTTTTTTCCTGGAAAGGCTTTTATACATTCTAACACTGTTGAAAACACTGTGAATAAACAAGCTGTGTCAGAACATTAAGACATGTTCAGTAATGCATACATGAATGACCGCAAATTATACCTGGTTGGGCAATTTATCGCCTTTTACAAATTATTTCATTCTATTGTAGAAATCATGCATTTTCTCTAGTACGCTTTAAAAATGCAATAAAAAAAGAAAAAAAATGTGAATTTCTCTTAGGCAGTCGTATCAGAATGTGAAACATGAGTTGTGAATGATCTGCTCAGAAAGAAATGCAACCTAATAAATTACCATGTTCCCATTTGATAGCTTTGACTGGGACACTGGCAATCCCTTCAAGTGAAATAAAATGTTTCATCCAAGTCTAAATTGATTACAAGTAATTCTGTAGTTAGCTGTGAAGAAGTCGTAACTGCTTGGTAATAGAAGCTTGGGGAAGTAACAGATATATTTCTAGTTGGTGCATATGGCAAAGTCCCTCAAACAAAGCCACTAAAATTCCCTAATTCCCCTTTCCCTCCCTCCTACCCTCCAGACAGATACATGACTGAACTGGCTAAAGACAGCAGAATACAGACATCAGTAAAACTAAGAAGTAAGAGGGGAAGATGGTATAGCTGGGAAATTGGCACAGTAATGGGTCCTTGTGGTAAAAACTTTACTCTCCATGGCTTTGTTTTCTGCTCTTCTTAGTACCTTTTCTGAAGGAGAGCCATTGTAAGGACTGCCCTTCCTTTCTATCCACTGCCCAAAATGGATAGAAAACAAAGGAGAGGAAACTGCATTAGAGTTTGAAATTGGACACCCTTCTTAAAAGTGACAAAGCATTCTGGTCACCTAGATTTATGACTTAGGCCTCTTTATAAGGTATATGCTTTTGTACTGGTTTTGTTCTTGTTGCAGAGAAGCTTAAAGGGCAGTAAACTGACAATTGCTTTACCCGAAGTGTTCTTCTGGGGGAGGGGAAATCTCTTGCTCTGTACCACACTGCAAAGGTCACTCTTTCTGTTTACACACACGATATTCTTCATAACTGCAACAAAACTAGTAAGTATTTTTGCCAGAACCTTGGAGTGACAGAGAACTTCTTATGACATTTTCCTACCTAACTGTGACCAAAGCATGTTAAGACACTGGCTGTGGGCTCTTTGGTTGTAGATAGATTCCTAGGACACCTTGTGCCACTCCCCTTTTGTCTATTTATCCAAAAGCCAGTCTAGCCAGTTTCAGGAGTTCTTCAGCTCAAATGGGTTCTTGCAGCAGCATAGGGCCATGACACTCATGTTATTTCTGCCTCAGCAGGGCAGTACAAGGGGAATGGCAGCGTGAGGGAGCAGGTCAGAAGTGGCAGTGACACTACTGATAGAGAATAATTTCCTCTTCTAACTATTCTTAGGGATGTGGTCATCAGCACAAGTGAATATCACTGCTGGTCATCAGAGATCTCTAGGATGTGTCAAAGGAGTTGCCTGAGAAAGAGTAATACTGTTTAGGTTAGATTTATGTGTAGAGGGAGAAGAAAGGATGTGAGAACACAGAAGTTTAACAGTGGCAAAAAAGGGAGCTATCGGAACAAGGGGGAAATTCTATACTGTTAATTGTTTCTGACTTATGGATTTCCTTTATTCCTAGCCTTAACTCTGTTTCTGTGGCTAACTTTTAAAACTGGATCTATCTCCAAGACGATAGGTTGTGGAGATTGACAGAGGTTTGGGGTGGGGGTTGCTTCTGTCAAAATACCTTTTTTGGGTAGTTGAGGGAGGTAGCTGTTACTTTCTGATACTGCACAGTGACAGAGTTGCTCTCTTTATTTTGAGGAACTGAGTGGTTTAATACCTGTGATCTCACTCAGTCTTCTTTATACATGGATAAGAGAGTGTGCTTTTATGGAGCTCATTCTGTGAAGCTATTTGGTTGCACACCTTCCTGCTCCTTCTGCTGTCTCCTGTTCCTCCACCCACCCAATACAAGTTAACAAATTTGGCCTTTAATCACAGTGTCCCAGTGCCTTGATCCAAAGGTTTACTTGCTAGTTTTTCACAGTTAGCTAGTCTGCAGTTGCCATTAGTAGGCATGGCCCTTATAAACTCTCTTCAGAAATGAAAATTCTGGTCTTGCCATGTAAATTGACTTTCTGCAAAGGCGGCCATTTCAAAAGTTCCACCCAGGTATTAATGTGTGTGTGTGTATAGTTGTTTTAAATAGTGGTATGTGTTAGAGTTCTGTTTTTGATTAATGTTTCAGGCTAAGAAAACTTGGACGGAGCTGGTAGAGATGCTCTACTGGGTGGGAGCCAAAAGTCTAACCACCAGCAAGAGCTACCTGCAACAGTGTAATTAAGATCAACAGCCCAGGTTCTAGTCTGGTCTCCTTTTGCAGAAAGTTAATTTTAAAGTAAGACCAAAATTTTTTTTCTAATACACTTGAATATGTAAGTCTTTAAATTCTTCTTTGAGTGATTGTCCATATGGATTCCACAGCCTTGTGAGCAAATGACGTTTTTGACAAAATGATCTGTCATAGCTGTGCCCGTGGTGTACGTGCCCTCATGCCTTTAATCCAAGTGTATGAAGGGCCCAGCAGCTTCTTGCTGCCTGTGGCACTGAGATGTAACCCGGACACTGTTTGCTGCCTCTTCCTGTTGAAGTGTCTGCTTCTGTTTTGTTGAACAGCTTGGTTGCCTATGGAACCCTGTGCTTATGCACAGTCTTGTTCCGCATTTAAGCTTAAGTTGCTCACTTCCCATGCTTCCAGGAGAAATGAAAAGATGTAAAATCTGCCCCTTTATTAACTAAACTTTGTTGTCATTTTTGTAGTCAATAGGGACTAAAAGTTTTTATGTTCAAGTATACTGCTGGGCTGATACTCCTCACTTCAGAAACAAAGCCTGAAAATTAAAAAGTCAGCTTATTCCAGAATGGATGCTCAGAACGTTACATGCCTGCTCAGACACTGAACTGAAAAATGTAAGGTATACGTTGAAGCTCCAGTCTGTCCCATGTCTGACCATCCAGTTCTGCTGTGATTTGTTCCTCAAGCTTCCTGACTACACTGATCTAGAAGCTTCCTGACTACACTGGCCAGGGTATTTTCCTTCTCACTTGGCTTCACAGCCTGTTACAGATGACATTCTTGCTGCATTTCCTTCTCAAAGACTGACTTAATACCAGAGGCAAGACACGAGTTATGAATAGGATTTAACACAATGATCAGTGGGATCTTATGCCAAGTGTAAAGAATGCAAGCACTGCCCATTAAAGCTGTTTACCACATCTCCTGTTAAGTGATTCCTTTTCTGTCTAGTCTCTCCCTTTACAGGTGACTTCAGAACAATGGTGTTTTTACTCATTCCGATGATGTCACGGACACAGATTTTGGGCCTAGGAGTATTTTGCTTTGGTTTTTTGGGGCTGGGGGAATGACTCAGCCAACATTTAACAAGTTGATAGTGTTAGAAGTAAAGGAGGTGGTTTTGGCACCAGCTTTGTCCCCTAGGTGTGTTTGTTCTCTAATGGCATTAAACCATGGCACTATGTTCTCTCATGTCCTGTGTTGTCAAAGCATTCTTCTGTGTGTCCATTTTGGCTTTCTGTAGAGTTACTGTAAGAAAGCTTTTGTGTGTGTGTGTTTTCCTATAGCCTCAGTACCTTGTCTACTATCAGTCTAGAACCTCACTGGAGAGTGTAGTCAGACAGTTAATCCCAATCACTTGGTTGGATTTAGGTATTTAATACTTCACTCAGGCTGTGTAAACTAAACACAGCACAATCACTCTGTATTCCAATTGGATTATATAAATTAAATTTAATCAATAAGGTCATCTAAGTTCATCTGTAATCTTGGAAAAAGAAAACTTCTCAGAAAGATTAAGATAATAAAGAGGCTGGTCTACAGGAACAGATGCAGTTTGCTGTGTTCAGGATGTCTCTGTCCTTACTTAAATTGATGAAATTTTTAGGTATGCTGCTGGCGATGGTGCAAGAGGAACTTTGTCAATGCAGATACCTCACACCCGTCTTCTAGGAGCTGTTAGTATCTGTAAATGAGGTGGTTGCTGCATATGATACTCTCAGCTTCCATAGTTTTGTCACATCTCTATTTTTAACCCTGCAGGAGACTGCAGTGTTCTTCAGTTAGAACTGTACATAGCTCAGCATCTCCAGACTGAGTAGCAGGAGTTTCCTAAATGTCCACTTAGAGAAAAGATCGAATGCAGCCTCTAAATCCTTCGGTTTTAATGTTGTGTCTGTGAAGTGGCTAACTGTCGTGTGCTTTAGTCCCTATGTGATCACTTGAGCCGTGCTACATCTGCAATACACAGAGGAGTCAGATTGTTTCTGAGGGACAAATGATAGCCCACAGAGCCATAGGAGACTTCTCCATCACATGATTCCATTGTCAGTTGTAAGATTTTCCTGGATCTAGTCTTCAGGAATTCTCAAGGAGGTTTTTCACTGTTCTTGCCTTAATTTAGCCTCACAAGGCCTTTCATTCCTGTCCTCTCTCATCTGTCCACATGAAGGAGGCAGGTGAAACAGCATATTTAAGTCCTATGCATGGAAACATTACAGTATCAAAGAAGACTGGACCCTGCCTGCAAAGAAACAAATGCTTGTTTCTTTCAACCAATACGTGGTTGAATTGGAGAGATTTTAGCTTATTTTCCCTGCAGCTCTTGGGAATTGTTTTGTACATTTAGAAGTTGCTGTTTAGCCAGTCTCAGATCAATTATTAAAAATATGTGTATGCACTACTTGGAAATATCTTCCTTCAACCTTGTTCTTCCATATCTGTTTCCAGGAACTGAACTCATGGGGATTAAAACTGCCTTGGATAGCAACAGACTCCTCTCCTTCTTAATGTTAAGGATAGTGATTCTGATAATTCTAATTCTTCTGTTAAATTCAACCCACTCATCTCTGTTTAACTGAGACTAGAGAGAACACCAGAAAACCTTTTGTTTAAGTTACAGATATGTAGCTACCTCATCATACAGAACTATCTTGTATAGTTCTACCAGGAGAAGTCATTCAGGAACTCACATAAACAGACTAGCTCCCCTTCTACAGCAAGGTTTTGGAACATGCAAAATCTCATTACCTACCTGAGTGAATCCCCAGCTGCATGAGGTGCATTTATTTACACCTCCCTCCCTCCACCATAAGGTGGAGATAAGCCATTTCTCTTTGATTGCTCTTGAAGACAGCACTACAGGTTTGAGAAATGAAGATAGGTAAAAGGGCAGTGCACTTCCCTGGAATAGTCTCCACACAGCTGACTCTTCTCTGACATTCAACAGGTGGTTGTTACATATGGCAGGACTGTTTTAACATTGTCGTCTACAGGGAGTCTCATTGTATTTGAAACACCTAACACATGCAAGCAGTAGTTTGCTGGGCTCCTTATGTAGTCAGTGGAGACTAATGGCGCCGGTAAAGCAGTGGTGAAGGTCCTTATCAGCAACCAAGAGTAAATAAATGATTGCTTGTCAGTTGCCAAGAGTGGAATCCATGTGTACAGTAGCTTAAAGTAAGAATAATTGCAGTTTCTGTGGTTATAGCAGATGTCTACATTGTCTATGTAGATTCCACAACTTGCCTGCCTTCCCTGCTTCTGTAGAGTTTTCTTCTGAAGTCTTGTGTGGTGAAAATACTGAAGAATGATTGAGGCTGCTCTAACCTTCATGTCCTGGTGCAGGGATGCAGAGGAAGTGAAGATAAATACGCCACATGGGTACTGGCACAACAAAAATGGAGTTTTCAAACAAAACCGCCTAATTACAATTAGTATAAGTCAGAAAAAATCCCTCTATTTCCACACATTCAAAGGACTAGGAAGGTAGTATTAAGTGTCTTATTCTGTATTTGAGAGGTCCTTCTGGAAAAGCTGAACTTTCCAAACGCCAAATTATACTGCTAATGTTATTATGAAGGTTTTGAAAATATTAAACTGAGTACTACTGATGCACATATTGATAGTATTATCAAATAAATGTGTGCATTGTGTAGGCAGTTACAGGAGAAGAGCTGTATACTAATGTTTTTCTACTAATTTTTTTTTTTATCTTTAAGAATGAAACCAAGAAAAATTAAAGAAGATGATGCTCCACGAACGATAGCTTGTCCTCACAAAGTAAGTGAAGTGCTCAGCTTCTGAGTAGGTAGTAATTTGTAGACCAGAATTTTGCATTGATGTTTTCTCTTGAGAATGAATAACTAAAATATCTTACTGTTAATAGACTACACTCAGTTAACTGTATTTTAGTTATCATTCTTTAGAGGCTTCCTTAAAAACCTTTCACTGAATAATATATTATTCCCATTCCTTGTCTTAAGGTTAGTGCATACCTAATCTTCTGGTAACCATGATGCACAGTCCCTAACATGCTGGTTTTACTGTTGTGATTTCCTGCCACCCAAGATTACATACTTGAAAGAATGTTCTGAAAGCTGTTCAAAGTACGTTCCTAAGATCTATATATCCTCTGCTTGGAAACTATGACAGATTTGGAGTCTAGATCAGGAATCAGCAATTTATGGTGCAGATGTCAAAGTCAGCATTATTGGAAGACTTTGAATTACATTCCACACAGCTGGAAGGTGCGTCATCTTGAAAGAGAGAGAAAGGCATCTTGGAGATATGATTCTGATCCACTGGTAGCGGGGAAGCGTCTGTCTTGAATAAATGTTGCCAGTCACCTAGATTGGTAGCATCTAGCTTTACTGCATTATCCAGCTTTTGTAGAGCTTCTGTTAGCTGACTTAGTCTGTAATGAAAAAAGACAAATATAATCTTGCTGACTTCTGGTCTAGATAAGTGTGAGCCTAAGCAAATAATCAGGGCAGATCACTAATAGTATGCATTAGAGAGCATGAATAGAAGACTTCTTTCTGAGAGCCATAGTCTAAGGAATTTGCTGGATTCCTCTTTGTGCTTATATTGATTTCCAGTTCTTCACATTCTACAAGTGTCATGTTTTTATTATAGTATAGTATGTGGAGATACAGGAACAGTTAGTCCTGACGATACTGACGAATGCTGCCTTCATTTCTTTGATTTACTTTTTCATAGCCTCAACTTCATCTAAACAGGGGGAAAAAAAAAAGAATATTCTGTCTTTCCATTTTCTCTCTTCTAGTGTTTCTAGGCTTTGTGCATTTCTGACTTCAGTTTAAAAAAGAAAGATATTGTAGATGTAACTGCTCCTCTCAGAGGCAAGCAGGGACTTTGAAATAAATGCAAAAAAAGTTGATGGTATGTTTAATTTGGTGCTGCTTTGCCCCAGCCAGTTCTGTTACATGCAGTGAATGGTGGCACAACGCTTCTTAAATCAGCCAAAGAAATTCTAGTGCCTGAAGAGAGAACTCTTCTTGAAAGTGGCATTTCCCCCTTTTTTTGAGAAATAAGGCATGTTTAAATGTGGTTATTAGTTTTGAAAAAAATAATTTCCAAAGAAGAGGCCTGTGGAATTTAAGATTAGCAATTGATTGTTCCTTTAGGTTCTGTTGCTGAATTTTATGCCTCATAACACAGTGATGTTGGTAGACTAGTTTTATGTAAGTTTAAACAGCATCACTTGGAGTACAGATAGAATTTACAGTTGTTAATAGGATTTTATGAAGGATTTTGAACCTTGAAGAAGACATTTGTAAAACATGTGATAGATGTCTATTGATTGTCACTAGAAGGTGAAAAAAGGTCTAGAAAGATTGGGTAAAGACAGCCCCAGGTTGCTGCTGGCTTAAGTGTACTCTGGAATCAAAAGTAGTATTCCTCTGTCGATGCAGCATGGACCCCAGATTAAGACTTCTGATGCTGTACCTGAGTTAATGTGAGTATCTTTTGCTTTTAGGTTGCGTTGGCACTAACTCAGAGATTCTCTTACCTTACTCAGTTGCCCAGTATCACTTTGTAGGTTTAAACTGTAAAAGCAGTGGCAGTCTCTGTATATCTCAAGGTGGTAGTGATCAATCTGCTGCTGCCAGTTTGGACAAGGTAGTTTCTGTAAACTGTTATGTGCTGGAAACTCTCTTGCTCCATTTCTTCTCAGGAATGAGGAGGAAGAGGACAGAATGTTAGGAGATGGAGTGGTGCACATACGAATTGGTACTAGAGAGTAATCTGTGGTATATTAGAGACTATATCGTATATTATAGTACTGTAGTGCTCAGAATATAGCACATGGAAGAATATACCATAGGTATCCATGAACAATCATTCTGTCTTTTGGTTTTTTCCCCCCTGAAACTCTAAGTGCTTTTGTTTGGTTTATTCATTTGCTTCTATCAGAGCTGCATCTTCTCCATGAGACTGTTCTATTATTCATTTGACTGCACATGGTTCATAATACTAAGTGAGGAGAGGGTTTGGGGGTTTTTTGTTTGGGGTTGGGTTTTTTTTTACCGCAGCTTTTCAAATGATCAGTTTTCTTGGTATTGCTTTTTTAAAATAAATGTAAGGGGTCTCCTTTTCAGGGCCAACTTTTAAGAAAGTGTTCAGGATATAAAAGCATTTTAAATGCTTGTACTGTAGCAGATAAAACCTTCTTTATCAGAACTAGCTTATCTACTAATTGAGTTTCACTGTTCTTTTTAAGGGCTGCACAAAGATGTTCAGGGACAACTCTGCCATGAGGAAGCATCTGCACACTCATGGCCCTCGAGTACACGTATGTGCAGAATGTGGCAAGGCCTTTGTGGAGAGCTCAAAACTAAAGCGACATCAGCTAGTTCATACCGGAGAGAAACCCTTTCAGGTATTGTTAACCTCCAGACCTAAGTACCACAATTTATTTGGTAAACGTGTAGACTGTAACTGTAACCTATATGACTTCTGAGGATACTATGTTTTTTTTCTAAAATCAGATGAGGCACTGAATGATCACCTTAAAAACTGGAAGTTCCCTTAAACTAATTAGGCTATCATGTATCTATTTCCTTGGGCCTTTGTTAGAAATTAGCAAATTGTATGTACATGGGAGATACCTTCCAAAATATAATGTAAAGTTACCCACTTCAAAAATGAAGCCTGCAGTTACTACTGAATGAGGAAAATGTCTCTTTCTCTTCATCATCTTTTCAACTTAGCACTTGTGGACAACTGAGACTCGGGGCTGTTTGCTCAGTTGACTCATGATACTAACTTTCAGTAGCAGTATTAAGCAGTTTTCAGCAAAATGATGGTAGTCACTGAATATCTTTCCATTCGTATCAAGTCACGTGAGCTTCTGCCACCAGAGGTCCCCTGCCTACTTCATATGATACTCCTTATAAATCTTCTTTACAGGTATTCATAGTCTTGAGCATATCTGTGTTCTCCAGTACATGTTTAAGATATGTATTTTTTGTTGGTTTTTTTTTTAATGAATTATTTTAGAAACCTGATTTACAGTCCTCAGGCATTCACTTAAACGTGTATGCTGAAGCTGCTGTGTTTTAAACTATAAGTATTTACCGCTAAACATGCTGCCCTTGTATTCTGAGCCCATCTTAAAAGTAAAGCCGGTAAAATGAGCAAATCTTTGCAAACTATGACCAGAACAGGGAAATTCTGATGCGAAACACTGTTTCTGTTTCCTAGTACAGCATAGCAAAACAGTGTTTTGTATGTGCAGAGAAGGTGTTTTTAGTGAAAGCATTTGTTTGCAAGCTGGAAGTTATTTCCCTCTTTGAAAATAGATATACTACTGTGGTAAAACAACCTGAAGTATTAATTTTATTTTTTAAATGCAGTTTAAAAGTGATGCCCGCAGCTTCACCTATAATAATCTTCAGCATCTAGCTTCATGTTTGTGCAATCCAGTGATTTAAAAAAGAATACTGTTCTAATCAATGACTGAAACGAGTACTACTTTTGTTAGCTAATGGAGTATGTCTTTTCCTTTCAACAGTGTACGTTTGAAGGATGTGGAAAGCGTTTTTCACTGGACTTCAATTTACGCACACACGTGCGAATTCATACTGGCGACAGGCCCTATGTTTGCCCATTTGACGGCTGCAATAAGAAGTTTGCGCAATCAACTAACCTGAAATCTCACATCTTAACACACGCTAAGGCCAAAAACAACCAGTGAAAGTTGGAGGAGAAAGTTCTTGAACTCAAAGCATCTTACAGGAGTATGAATTGGAAATAAATATGCCTCCCCTTTGTATATTGTTTCTAGGAAAGAATTTTAAAAAAAGAACCCTACAAACCTAAAGGACGTGTTTTGATAAGTAGTAAATAAAAAGCAAAAAAAAAACCACAAAAAAAACTTTAAGGTGACGTTGCTAAGATGCTCTACCTTGCTCTGTAATCCCGTTTCAAGAACACGGTGTTTTGTAAAGTGTGGCCCCAACCGAAGGGGTCAGTTCATGAACTTGCATCAAGAAAGACAATTCTTTATACAACAGTGCTAAAATTGGACTTCTTTTCACATTCTTATAAATATGAAGCTCACCTGTTGCTTACAATTTTTTTAATTTTGTATTTTCCAAGTGTGCATATTGTACACTTTTTGGGGATATGCGTAGTAATGCTATGTGTGATTTTTCTGGAGGGTGATAACTTGCTTGCGGTAGATTTTCTTTAAAAGAATGGGCAGTTACATGCATACTTCAAAAGTATTTTCCTGTAAAGAAAAAAAGTTATATAGGTTTTGTTTGCTATCTTAATTTTGGTTGTATTCTTTGATGTTAACACATTTTGTATAATTGTATCGTATAGCTGTAATGAAATCATGTAGTATCAAATATTAGATGTGATTTAATAGTGTTAATCAATTTAAACCCATTTTAGTCACTTTTTTTGGAGAAATACTGCCAGATGCTGATGTTCAGTGTAATTTCTTTGCCTGTTCAGTTACGGAAAGTGGTGCTCAGTTGTAGAATGTATTGTACAGGCACTGACCTTTTATTAACACCTGATAATATGTACATCCCATGTAATAGAAAGGGCAACAATAAAACAGTGGTCCTAAAGAAAGAATATGGCAGAAAATGATCTGTAAGCACAGTCTATTTTCTTTTGTTGTCCAGAGCAGTCCTAGTTCCTCTTGACCTCCCAGAAATTGGAAGCTAAATAAACTCAAGTTTCCTTTACTTTGCATTCAATTACAGTGATTCGTGATGAAATTACGTAGTGCCACGTCAGGTGGCATACCGAAACAGAATTGGTGACTGTAATTCTGTTGCTGAGTGACCTAGACTTCCACTAGCTGGAATGGTGGATTTGGAGACTTGGAAGTGCAGTGGGGAGTTTTCAGTGTGCCTGGACAGCAACTAGGTGAAACAGTACAGTAAATAACTAAATGGGCACCTTTGTTTAGTCAAGGTAAGGAACCTTGGAGGTTTAAATGCAGTAACAATAGAAACTGGGGGAATGGTAGGGTTTGAGTGGTCGTACCCGAAAAAAAGAAAATTGTCTCTCTCTCGGCTAACTTGTTTGACTGAGTATAAAGATGAAAATTCTTGGAACCTCATTGGGCACCTTTTACTTCAAAAGAGGAACTCAGAGTTCTCGGAGAACTTGATGGAGTTTTGATGGTCTAACTAAAAGTGGTTACTACTCATTTGTTCAAGTGTTGAAAGTAAGAAATTTTGCAGATACTATAGTAAAATGTGACAGATTAATAAACATAATATGCACAGAAATGCATAAGTATTATTTTTTAGAGGGATGTGACATTTTAATATAGTAAAAACTGTTGTTAATCTTTTTCTGAATTCTGTTCTTACAAGGTTCATCAAAATTTTCATTGCTAATACCGTAAAACTTACTTTTGAGTCCAATTTTGGTGGTAGTGGAAAAAACATGGGTAATAATGAAACTACACTTGAGAGCAAGGGAATTTTCATCCGTACACAAGTTAATCTGAACACTGCAGCTCTAGTCTGAGGTTATTAGGGGTAGAAAGAAAGACGGGGCATTTAATTGTAAAGTATGCATTAGAATTTTGGCAGTATTTTTTTTATATAAGTTCTTGAACAGGACAATATACTGAAACTTGTATAGTTGTAGTTAAATTAAATTCTGTATACAGTTAAATTAGTGTCTATTCTTTTTGGAAGGAAATAAAATCAGTTCAGTCTAGTTCTAATTGACCTTACTTTTTTTTTCTCAAACAGTATATATGATGGTGTTAGGCTTGCGCAGAAGCTTGCTTTCCTATGTCATAAAGTGGTACCCATTTTATTGAATTGCAAGGTAAAGAGATTCCTTGATGGTGTCAGTACTTCATCCTTGAACATACATTTGAGACTAAATTATTTATGTTAAATACTGATTTGAGGATTAACTGGGAACTGAAACTTGTATTACCCCTAGTTATATTGCATCTGATTAAGGAGAGAGATCAGAAAAATTTTCATCTAGGCCTCAAATCAGTAGCATTCAATACACTCCTGAGTGTAAGTAGCAACACTTAGTAGCATGAAAGATCCTGCTTTGTAACTAGTTAATTACATATTGGGTATGAATAAATACTTGCATTGAGCAGCTTCTGTAAGTTATTTAAGCTTTTAAAGTACTGTTGGCTCGTTTGTTCTTAAAACATCATGCTTAATGCAACAACATGCAATAACATGCATGTTGATTCCAGAGTTCTCCTTAAGGATTTTCAGTGAAGAAGTTACAGACTTTGAGAATAGCAACAGAGTTGACTTTGAAACCAGCGTTGCCAGCCTGCTGTCGACAAGTTCCTGCATTATACCACCAATTTCAGGTAAGGGGAGGAGAGTCTGAGGGGTGGAGGAAATGTAGCCAGTGGTTTTAAAGCTGGCAAAAGATTAAAGTGCTTACTCATCATGCCTGTTCTACTGCTCATTTGATCTTACGTTTCATATTGCCTTATCTGGTTCTGTCGAAATGGAAGGAGACAAATTCTGTAGCTGTGTATCTTTTGGACTCGGACCACTTCTTAAAAGGTAGAACTGACTATAGACTTCCAGCTGTGTCTGTTTGTGGTCTGCCAGTAGCAGTAGGTCCTGCTTTAAATACAGGACAAACTGAACTTAAACACCTATTACTTCTGGAGATTGTTTTTCTTGAAAAGGGTGTAGGAGGAGCCCAGGTACAGATTTGAAATGCTAAGTGAATGAATTCTTAGTGAAAAGGAACTGAGAACTCCTTCCTCTCTGCCAGGACCTCAGTTGAACTTGCACTTGATTTTAGTTATCCTCTTTTCAAAGAGGTGGTCACAAATTGTCAATCAACAAAGCCAAACTTAAACACATTCTAACAACATAGCCTGTCAGCAGTAATACAGTTTTAAAGGCAGACGGAGATCCTTCCCCTCTGCTAATTCCACAGTAAGTAAAAAGCAAAAGAAGCAACAGTTAACAGAAATAGCAAAATCATTGAGGCTTTAAAATGTTTGAAGAAAGCTAATCCCTTCAAAGTGCTAGATGAAGAGGAATGGCAGTGGCAATAGAAGGTGTTTCCACTTGATAATGTGGTTCCTTACTGCTTTGAAGAAATGGAGAATAATTGGTATTTTTGTTAGGGCTGCTAGACAAATCAGCCTAGGAAGTCGGACTCAAGTGGTAGCTGTTACTGGCATTGGTTGATCCAGTTGTTCTACAGTGATGACACTGGAATAAGTTTTTCATCTGTATGGCACCTTCTTAAGTGTGTGTTACAGTGGCTTGAGAAGATGAGGAAAGTAAATAATGTTTGTGTCAGCATTAAGCTTTGACTTCTTAATAATTACACTAATGTTCCTGTATTGCTTAAAGCTATGGAGAAATCAGAAGTCCTTCAGAAACTTCAGAATTTGTGGTGGATTTCAAAACTGTGTGTTGGGTATAAATTTTGCATGCAGGAATAAAAATAAAAGTTGGGCTTGGATCTAGTACAATTACTCATAGCTGTGTAAATGGAATAGTTAAAAAGTAGCACTTTCTTTGGGAAGAGTGGGAAGGTTTCTTCTATCGGCCTGATTTGGCAGTCCCAGAGCAAAAGAATGGGAGAGACTCAGTATTTGTTTTGATCATATGAATTGACCTAGTTTCAAGTTGCAAAAAGCTAATAGTATGAAGATGGCTTTACAGCAATGCTTAAATGCCACCTGGATGGCTACCCACTTAATTTTGTAAGGTAATTTAATCAGCGGTCCCTTACTCGGTTTCATTCTCTACCTAAATTAAACCAGCTTAGGCAAGTTTACGTGTACTCACAATCATCCTATATTATGGAGGCAGTTTTGCTTAGAATTTTTTCCATCCCTTCATTTCTTTGGAAGTAGTCTGGAGAATATAAAATTTTCTTTTGGAGAAAGCACATCAGATTTTGTAGAAGCGTTCATCTGAATTTTTCAGGTCCTGGCTTCCCCTAAAGTAGCAGAACACCACCATTTTGCTGTAGGCAAATGAGTAAAATCACTTACAGCAACTGTTGTTTAAACAACTCCAGTTTCAGGTTTTTAAGTCTTCTGGTTTTTTTTTTTTCTAACAGAAAAGCTTTAAGATCGGATGCTGGTTGGATACCATTGCTTCTATTGCGTATTCAGGTGTGGACATAATACCCCTCTTGTGAGCTGCTGTTCTCACCGGGTTCCTGTGTAAATTGGAAACTCTTCAGGAGCAAGCCTGAAGTTCTGTAGAAATGTTGATCAATTTTGGGCAGGAGGGAAAGGGACAGAGAGTCCGTGGGGTCCTTGCAGGACTTTTGGATGCTTCTCTTGACACCGCTTTTATATTATGTGTTCTTGTAGGTTTAAGTGTAATTTCTCTCTAATTGGGCTGGTATTAGGTAGCGTCTGATATGTCAATGCTTTATTTCAGTCTGTACAGATACTCTTGAATAGTAGTTTGCCAGGAGATGGCAGTGAATTACCAGTTTGCACAGCGTGACCAGCAGACAGAATAGCAAAGTGTCAGGGTGCCCCTGTGAGGTCAAGTGCATGGAGGGTGACCTGTGGTGTTCGGTGGACCCTGACAGACTTGGAATGTGCCAGTGTCAAAGAGCAAGTTTTCCACACACCACTGCGGATGAATAAGAAGTACAACTCTGTGCTGATTTCTGAGAGTCCCAAGCGTACTTGTGCATTCGTAAAAAGCACCAGCAAGGCAATGAAAATAAAGACTGTAAATAAAAACTGTTGAGTGTGACACGGATAATATACTTTTAGGGGATCCATCCATCCAATATTAATATCAAGTGTCTTTAAAGAGAAATGTGGAAATGTAAAGGCGTAGTGTTAATGAATGTGCTTTCAAGTGTAAGCGGCTATTTTGGTTAGCTGATAGACATGTAAAACACCAATGCTTCACTCCAGCAGTGGCTTCCTAAAAAGTCTAAGCTCACCTGGGGCAGTTAAGGCCTCGCCATTTGACTTTCCTTCAGTGTGTTGCTGCTCGCAATGTTTGCAAGGCCATTGCAGAGACTGTGGGACAGATGTTGCATCAGAGAGTCCTGCATTGCTGCTCTTTAGGGAATCAAAGATCTCAAGTAAACTGGTTCTCTCTCTGGAGCAGGCCCGCAGTAAAGGTGTGTTTCAGAGGGATGTTGTTTGTGAATAACGGGTATATTCTTGAGATAAATCATAGAGCAGATGAAGACTGAGGCATAAGATGGACTCCTTGTCAAAGAGTGGAAAATCCATACACAGAAAAGCTTGGTGACTGGATATGTCCTAATGTACTTCAGCTAAAGCTCATCTCAGCAATTGGTTGCAAGACAAATCTGTAGAAAACCCTGTCTTGTTAGTTAGTGTTTGGAATGATTTAAGGGCTCATAAAGTCAGGTGTCCTTCAGAGCTGCAAGATGCTTGCCAAGGACCTCACTAACGTTGCCAGTTGCAATTTTGGCTTGCAAAATTTTGACTGCCAAAAAGTGGGGCATCGTGCAGCTCATGTTCTGACGTACTTTTCAACGCATCTCTCTTTTTTCTCAGCAAAACAGAAGATTTGGCCTTTGGTCATGGAATCCTTCAGTCCTCATCTTAACCAGTGTTTTGACTGAACCTCCAATGGATTTATATGAATCCAATGACTCCCAGAGCTTGAAAGGGCATACAAATGTTTATGGTTTGGAAATGGTTTGTAAGGAATAATACTATGGCAGGTCTTCAGGTTTTCCTACTGTGTGGTTTGGTTTTTTTTGTTTGTTTGTCTTTTCTTATTCTTTCCTCTTGTGTAAGTTAGGGATAGGGGATTTCATCTCAATTTTTTCCAGGGTGTGAAATGGAAGTGTTCAGTCTCTCAGTTATGAACTGGCAGGGAAGCAGGTATCTGCCTGGAGGAAATTAAGGGTAAGAGAGTTATTTTTACGTTTACCTCCTTTAATTGCAGTTACAAAGCTTGAACTTTGTAAGCTGAACTATTTTAAAACTAGCCTGTTTGAAAATGACCTGTTGTAGATTCTTCCTTAAGTGAAAATACATCAGTGCACAAGGAAGAAGGTATGTGGCCTTGGTGACTGCAACACTTGAGTATACCTGATCTAGGATAAATATCCGCTTAAGACAAGTAGATCAGGTCCTAGAAAAAGAATACTAATTTTCTTTCATTACAACTTTAGTCCAGCCAAGTCAAATTACTCTAGCAACAATTCTTCCTATTTTGATATATTTAGCAAACAGTGCAGACCATGAGGTCAAGCTTCATTATTATTTTAGTATTTTATTGATTGACAGGTGGATATGGTTGAAATGGTACAACTCTATTTTACTGTTAGTAAAAAAAGCAGAAGGTTTCTTTCAGTAAGAAAAAGCAGTCATTATGAAGTATAAGTAATAGTGAATGATAGCAAGAAGCAATTTAACTGTGTTAGATGTAAAGTTTTATAGACCTGAAGGATGTTTTGTGGACATTAGAACTTGCCTTTCTTCCAATTATATCAATGTATAGGGTGTTATTTTTCACTGCAGACCTTGCCTTGCTTGCTTTCAATTTATATACTGATGAAACTCTATAGCTGAAAATAACATTCTAGGTCAAATCAGTTAAAACTGATAATAAACTAAGTAGACAAGCTTTTACTGTATATCATATATATTATTGTGCATATGGTGTTACTGAATTTTTTTTCCTGTTAGTGATAGGCATTTTTGTAATTAGTGAGGACAACACTAGGACAAAAATTGCAAAATAGTTGCATTGGGAGGATGAAAATAGTTCCTTTTCCTCTGCGCTTTCCTCCCCCACTGCCCATGAACATACATAAATTCCTGAACATTGAAAGAAGCGGTTTGCTTCCTCATGATTTCAAAGCCTATCTCCACTAGGTTTGGCCCAGCAAGTTCTCTGGTTCCCTGCTCTCTTGCTGTGCCTCCCAGAGCCATATGGTCCCTTAGATCCTTCATCTGTCTCCACGGCTGTGGTGGTTGATACGGCATGTTGCCTTGGGTAAGCTTCTATTTTCTCTGGCTGTTTTTCTGGCAGAAGAGGGGTTTAATTGCACCTTCTGCTAATCTAATGGTGTTTGGCACACTTCTGGGCTGTAAGTTGTTCTTTAACTATCCACAGATCAAAAGTCTGGCTAACAACAGCTGTTAACACCTATTTTTCAGCATAATAGTAAATATATTTCATTTCAAAGAACAAACACATCTCTTCTCTGCAAAGTCAACTTTTTATACTTGTGTCTTAGTAACTTTCCCAGTATGCTACCTGTCCTGCACCTGCAATGTACGGGTTTTCATCCCTTGAATGTCTTGCTGCTTTTTTGTGTGAACTGTAAAAAAAAAAAAAAAAAAAAAAAGCTTTGTGGGGAGGAGGGAAGGGAAAGGTGCCTCCCAGAGCCATATGGTCCCTTAGATCCTTCATCTGTCTCCACGGCTGTGGTGGTTGATACGGCATGTTGCCTTGGGTAAGCTTCTATTTTCTCTGGCTGTTTTTCTGGCAGAAGAGGGGTTTAATTGCACCTTCTGCTAATCTAATGGTGTTTGGCACACTTCTGGGCTGTAAGTTGTTCTTTAACTATCCACAGATCAAAAGTCTGGCTAACAACAGCTGTTAACACCTATTTTTCAGCATAATAGTAAATATATTTCATTTCAAAGAACAAACACATCTCTTCTCTGCAAAGTCAACTTTTTATACTTGTGTCTTAGTAACTTTCCCAGTATGCTACCTGTCCTGCACCTGCAATGTACGGGTTTTCATCCCTTGAATGTCTTTCTGCTTGTTTTTGTGAACTGTAAAAAAAAAAAAAAAAAAAAAAAAGCTATGTGTGGAGGAAGGCAAGGAAGAGAGGACCAAAAAAAAATATGAATACTGTCATGTTACGGTTGGAGACATGATAAATGAACTGAATTTCACCCCAGTAGTTTTACTATAATAACCTTTTTAAAACTTGGAAGGGTTGTACCTGGGTGCTTTTTTCCCTCTTGACCTAATTGAGCGTATTTGTGGCTGCAGCCTGTAACACTGGTGTGACCCCTCCAGCAGCAGGGTGGGTCGTAAGAAAGAGTAGAGCACGGGGACTTCATAGTAGGCGAGTTTTGCTTTCAGTGAGTTTTATCTTCTTATTCCCTTCAGTTGTTGGGGTATTAATAGAGCATCTCCTACCCAGTATCATGGTGCTTGATGATGCTTGCGGGAAGGCGGATCTGGGGAGGCAGAATACAGTTCTGTCTGACTTGGCTGAATTGGCTGACATATCAAAAATCTCGCAGGAAGGAATTGAATCACGTTTAAAAAGGCTGAGGCTATTGTGTAGCTTGATTTAATAGTTAGGAGTCACACAGATTTCAAGCAAGTGACATCAGACTAGGTTGAAAGCTGGCTTTTACCCTCCTCAGGCTTGTTGAGTAACCTCCAGTGTCTGCTACTAATTATTTCTGTTAAGTTCCAGATGGATGAATTTCTGGAGAGAATGTTTTAGTAAATACTGCAAGTAAAACATTGTGTAGCCCTTTTTGATGTCTTTGCTGTCTTTTAGGGAGACGCTGCTTATTCCAAGTATTTGTTTCTGTGCTATAGTTCAACGTTGTTGCAAGGTACTTGACTGGAACTGCCCCTGGTCATGGTTAGTTGAAGCTGGTGGCCTTTCCCTTTTCTGATCTGGCAAACCGATGCTTGACAGGGTTTCTTTTGGTCACGTGTATCTACCCTTTAAGAAGATGAATTAGTGGAGCCCAGTACCTGAAAGAACCTCTCATCAGCAACGAGAGGTCTTTTTCATAGGTCACAACAGACATCATCCTGTGTTTCCTGCGTGGCTTTTTATTTGGAATATTGATGCTCTTTGGATTAGTTGCGCTGTCTAAAACCAAAACACTACAACCTACGAAGATTTTGCTAAACTTGTGCATCTTGGAGCCAAGCATTATTCTGATTCAGGTATGAACAGTGCTGTTGGCAGACCTGGTACTTGATTCTGATGTGACTCTGTGGGGACCCTAGACTTGTCTTCTGCAGTTGTACAGCCTTGGTGCTGATCAGCACTGCTTAAACCAAATAAATGCAGAATATGAAGGGTCCAAGCATGCTGCCAGCTCTCCGGCTCTAAAAGCCGGATTGTTCTCTTAGTACCTGTAATATCTTCAAGTGAGGTGCTCAGTGAAAAGATCGGTTTGAAGAAGCAAGCTCAGGAAACTTCCCTTCTTTACTTCAACGATGTCACTGATACACTCTAAGCCAGAGCAAGGCACCGTCCTTCCTGGTGGTGCATGGAAGGCAGATGGGGAACAAGTTTCTTCAGGCAAAAGTCAGAAACCCCACCCTCTTGCAAGCTAGATTTAACAAGCTAGATTTAACACGAGGAAGCATCCGAGTAAAACATAAGAAAGTTTAAAGAACTGAAGTCAAAATTTTTAAAAAATTTATTCCCTCAATTTTATATACAATAATTACAGACTACTGTACAAAGGTGTGAATGGTCTTTGCTGTGAGTTGTTGTGCATATGCAGCTTAGTAGACAGATTTAACATTCAATTTGAATCTCAGTGCAAGCAGGCACTAAAACATCCAACATACCTCCAAGGTATAAAAAGACATACCAGTTTTACAGGTTTCTCCAGCATATTTTGTTACAGTGCAAAATGCTATGAAATCAGGTTTCTTTAGAAAATTCATATAAATTAACCACGTATTGCACTTGTCCCAACCAAAAGTGTAACAAGTTGTACTCACTGAACTAGTTTGGTACATTTGGAAGATTCCTCACACACATGCACTCCTTCCTCCTGGCTATTTGTGCCAAATATGTGTAGTTCTTATTCCAAATCTTAAATAACTGTTTATAGCTCTTTGACTAATGCAATCCCTCTTGAACAGATTGCTAAAAAGAAATCACAGCGGATTAACGTAACAAGAAAATTCTCCAAAACCCTTTTCAGTCTTCCCTCCAGTAGCACTGTAACTACATGCATAAGAATCAATATTGTTTAAATTCACAATGCAATTGTATTGAACACCATCCATTTCAGACACTTACACCCCTATTTTCTGGAAAGGTATGAAACTTCCAGCTCTAAACGTGTACATATTTCTACAGTACTTCAAGCTGCTAAGCTAACATTGCACCCACGAACATTTTGTGCAATACCACAGGTAGGACTTTGACTTCTGTACATCACTGGCTGCTATGGTGCATGTTGGGAGAAGTGGCACAAAGTTGCATTAACTTCAGAGAACAAAGTCTACTTAGGCTGAATCTAGTCAATACAATCCGTACACCCACCAAACGAGAAACAGAGGTGAAGCCAAATAACATCAATCTTACTAGATTTGAGTTTCCCTAAATCCTTACAAGCCTTGAGATTTAAAGGAACGAGTGCATATGAGTGCAGATGCTAACTTTGTGCTTAAGAGATTTATTCGAAGCTGAAAGGTAAGGGAGTAGCTTAGGAACAAATCTTTTTTTTTTTTTTTTTTTTAGCAAACCAGTATGAACAAAGTTGCTACTAAAATCACTGACATATAAAAGCAGAGGAAAAGAAAAACACGTGGCCAGCTGAATGCTAGTCCATGTCTTAAACGGTTTAGGGTTACCTGCAAAATGCCTCCAACATTTAATTTCTTGCCCCTACTTCACCTTAGAGGACTATACTTACTCCTGTTACATACAAAAAGTATTTCTTTTCTGAGAACATTGCTGCATTCAACTCAACTCAGTCATTCAGAACACGAGTGGAAGAAAACCTGATTTCTGGTACTACAACATTCTCCAGATCCTCTTCCGGAGCCGCAACAGTAACTGTACAGTACTTTTTAAAGGCAGGTCCCTGTCTTACTTGGATACTACTAGATATGAAGTCCTTAATAAGGCAATACGCTGTTTATACAAGTAATGAGATGAAATCCTAATTTGACACATTTAGGAATTCTTTGTACAGATAGCATACATTTATACCACTTGTGCAGGCCAAGTGTTTACGTTTAAAAAAAAAACCCAACCAGTCAGCTTTGGATGAGGGGAACAGATACGGTTCACAAACTGGAAGGCTGCTGGATGACTGGACCTGGTTCACATCCACGAAGGTTGTCTTCCGACCTCATGTACATTAGGAACACAGTGACAGTAGCAAAGGTAGCTGCGTTGACAGGAAAAGCGCGGAGAAGCGTGGAAGTAAGACCTCTTGTGAACACCCTCCAGCCTTCTTCATGGTAACTCTTTCTGATGCAGTCTAAAATGCCATTGTATTGTGTAACGCCTCCAACTCCATCGGCTTGAAGGCGGGATTTGATCACATCCACGGGATAGGTTGAGAGCCAGGACACGATTCCTGACATCCCCCCGGAAAACAGCAGTTTGGGAATAACGTAACTGTCTTCAGCTTCACAGCCTAAATACCTGGTCATGCAGTCATAGGTGAGGAAGTAAAAGCCAAAGCTTGGAGTCTCTCTTATGAATGTAGAGACCATGCCCCTGTTGATACCCCTCAGCCCTTCCTTTCGATAGATTTTGATCAAACAATCCAGAGAATTTTTGTAGTTCTTCATTTTTAGTTTGTATTCACCTGTTCCTTGAAGCTGCATTCTTGTCTTGGCTAACTCCATGGGACAGCAGATGATGCACTGGATAGCCCCTGCCGCTGACCCCGCAAGGAACTGGTTTAGAGGAGTGTCTTTTCCAAGAGCACGAAGTGTGTTTCCTTGTACACCGAACACAAGCGCGTTAATGAAGGTTAGTCCCATCATTGGTGACCCAATACCTTTATAGAGTCCAAAAACCTAATGGAAGAAGGAAGGAAAACCTCTTTTTAACAGCGGTGTTGATAACCTCCTGAAACTGTGCAGAACGTGGCCTTTCTGGCTCTCCCTTGTGCCCTGACTTTCTAACAGTGGCCAGAAGATCAGTACCATCTTGCTTCGTAGTAATAATTTCATCGCTGCCTAGGACACAAGCATCTAAACATTTTTAGCAGTACAAAAATATAGTTGAACACATCCAGAAAATAATCTTAGCCCATCCAGAGAAAAGTTTCCTGGTAAATTTTGTACTTTATTTTTTAAGTAGCTAAAAGCCTAAAGCCACCCTTTTAGTTATGGTCTTAAAGCTTCAGCGGAAAAAAAACCTCACCAATTTCTTCACTCACTGCTCAGATTGCTTGGATTCTTGGAAAATTAGCTATTCAAATAACTTGTTATCTCATTTTAAAAGTTAACTTCAAAATATCAACTTCCAACTTAGTGATCTTCTTCACGAAGTTTCTGGCAGACTTCTGACTACAATATCTGCCCTATGGTCAGGTGAGGTTCAGAGTGTGCTAATCTCTTGATCTTCAATATTTGTAGGGGGGGGCTTAACAGCTTTCCCACCCTCCTGATACAAAATATATGAAGATACAAAATATGCAAAGCATTAATTTTGTACTTACAGATTCTTGCTTTATGATGGACTGAAAGCAATGGAAGGTCCCACGGTAGAGAGGTTTCTCTACATTTTGAACTTGTAGACGAACCTATAAAAAGTTGTATGAGATACTGATTTGTATGTCAAGAGCAGCCTAATTGGTAAACTAGTGTCTTGTACATATACGGAGACTTGTATAGCAATGTATATGCAAGAGCACAGGCTGGACACTGGAATGCCATATGTGGCAAAATAATTTAAAAATATTCTGTAAGTGGTTTGAATTAATTTTGGGGGTGAAAACATGAAGGGAGGAGGATCATTAACTTCTTGTGAATATTAGAAAAACAGTATGTGGAAGTACAACAGGTTACACTGTTATCTAGAATTTCAGATTGAAGTTTTCCAGTACTGGCTACAGTAAGTACTTTCTTTAGCTGCTAAGAATACATCTGTTCACACTAAGGAATATCTGTACAAACCTGATGGAATTTTAAAAATATTTATTTACAAGTCAAGCATGAAATAAGGATAATTTTAAAAGGATGGAAACTTTCACCACCACCACCCACAGTGTTTCTGGCTACCAGACTTGGGACCCTTCACTGAGATCTGATTTTTTTTTTTTCAGCTGGGAAGTGACTCTTAAGATGTCTGTCTTTGCATAAAGAAAGGAATAAAAAGCCACA